GGGGATAAAAGGGACCAAATAAATCGAGAGAGATTGAGAGCTCGGAGGCACCAATGATGATAGTATAATGAACTGAGAAGTCCTTAACCTTTTGTACCTGATGTCCAGCATGAATAACAATAATAATAATGAATTAGATGTGGTCATCTGCATGGAAGTTCACTACCTAATGCTAAGAGAATTTCCAAAACACATACAAATATAAAACATGGTGAATGTTACGAAAAATAGAAAACTATAAGATCTCCGGAGGGGCATTTTTTGTGTGGCATTGCCATGGAATGAGTCCAAGTAAAGGCAGTAAATAGTACAGGTACCCACCACACTGTGTTGTAATTATGTATAGAAATATAGATCTGCCTCCATTAATAGACAATGGACTCTTGGAGAATTTGAACTTGGTCTTTTCTTTCACAAAATAGGGTGTATAGTATAGTGGATAAACAGTCTTGGATCTAGACTTTCTGGATTGGAAGCTAGCCCTACTACTTCATAGCTGTGGGAACTTGATCAAGGTGCTTCAGGTCTCTGTGTATGTAAAAAGATAGAAGTATCTCTCATGTGAAATGGTGAAAATAATAGTACCTACCTCAAAGACTATTTGTGAGAATAAAGTGAGTTAATAAACATAAACGCTCAGAATAGCGCCTGAGCATATTAACTACTGTTAGTTATCAATGTTGTTGTTGTTATGTGGCTGAATGCTTTTAACCCATTAGAAGATCAATGAACAATTATCGGATTGAATTTTTCCTCCCTTCCTTACATTCTACAAATCCTAGAACCTCCTCTTTACATTCCCACCTTTACAGTACTTCACAGGGGCCCCTGGGCCCGGGGGTCACGGCCAGAACGCAGAGACTTTATGATGAGGACGGTGCCCACGATGATGCCCACTAGGCCCAGCACCAGGCCCAGGGCACAGAGCACAGTCTCCGTTGTCTCAGGGATCTGGATTGGCTCTTGGGCCTCTGGGGGAAGAATGAAGAGATAGGGTCAGGAGGTGCAGTGAGGGTGGTTCTGGTGTGGAATGGGTGTGGGAATTGAAGGTTATGGACAGTTAATTGGACATTAGGACGAGGAAAGGACTGAGACCTGGCCAGTGGGGAAAGCTGGTGCAGAGCACACCAGGTCCTTGGAATAGAGGATGCCAGAAGATTATGGAGAGAAAAGGAGCTGCATACCCCAGTGTTTGAGGAGCGGCTGGTCCAAGCCCCAGTGCTCCACCCTGCAGTCATAGAAGTCCTCGGCCGAAGGCACAAAGGTCAGGTAATGGAACTTGTGGAAGCTATAATCTGTTCTGGGCAGGAAGAGGCTCTCAGCGACACCCTCAGTGACCGGCTCTCCGTTGCACAGCCACGTGACGTTGAGCACTGGTGGGAAGAATTTGTCAATGTGGCAGATGAGGGTGTTGGGCTGGCCCAGCTCCACAGGCTCCTTGGGAAACACGGTCACCTCAGGGGGATCTGGGAGGAGAGAGCACCAGGTTAGGCCCCTCTTCTGGGACGAATCACAAAGGCTCCACCTCTTGTGGGGGAGGAGGGTGGTCCTCTACCTCAGCCTTAGATTTTATGGCAGCTCTGAATCACAGAGAGGGGTATCACAATACTGACCAGCCTCACTCTGCTCAACTTTCTCTCTCCTGAGAAGAGAGGATGCAAGCCCTTGCTGTAGTGGGATCAGCCCATGGCCACTAGGGGAAGAGGATCACACAGCAGGGGGCACTTAGGCTTCCTAGTCTAAGGGTGGCAGAGAGGCCCTCTCATCCCTTCCAGTTGGGCTACAGAGGAAGAGGCAAAGATAGGCAATACCATTGGCGGCCTGAGTGTAGTTGGAACGCTGGATCGTGATATTCAAGTTGTTGTTCAATATAGCAATGTTAGCCAGCCCGCCCTGAGCCTCAAAGGAAAAGGCTCGGCCAAACTCCTCCAGATGCCAGACGGTCTCCTTCTTGTCCAGATCCACATAGAACTGCTCATCTTCATCAAACTCAAACATATACTCCCCTGTTGGTCTATGTGTCTGTACAAACATGGCATAAGTTGATACATGGTCCGCTGCATAAAGAAAGTAGAGAAAAACGTGACAAAATGTCAATTTGAATATGCAAGTGGTGAAAGCTAGAGAATGAATAAAGACTTATGAATATAAAAAGGAAGAAGGTAAGAGGTCAAAGGCAGGACATATGGGGAAGAGAGACCAACACCATTAAGGAAATAATACAGAGCAGTTGAGTAGTTATAAAAAGAAAGGAGCGAAGAACAAAATGAAGTTTATCATTGATAAGTCAAGCTGCTTCCTGGCCTTTGAAAGTCTGGGCATCCTGACCCTACACAATAGCAATAGTAACAATGACAGCTAACATTTGTTGAGCACTTACTTGCGCCAGGCATCCTTCTAAATACTTTACATATTTCACTCGTTGAATTGTCACAATAGCCCTATGAAGCAAATACATAGCATACTATTTTACAGGTAAGGAAATGCAGAGAGGTTATATATTAATAACTGGCCAAGGTCATACAGCTACTGGTGGAACTAGTAGATTTTTTTCTACCCTTAAGGTCTTAATTCTTCTAAGACACAGATGTAAAATTGTTTTTCGAGTCATGGGGTGGGAAAGTGGACATTTTATTTTTCTTATTGCAGAAAGAGAGAAAAAATAGAAAATTGGGAGGACAAAAAATAGAAAATAGAAAAAATAGAAAATTGGGAGGAAATCCTTCAAATTTTAGTGTTCTTGACAGTTTTAAAGTTTCTGTCTTAGTTTATGAACATGAAACTAGAATGTACAACTTTGTTGATAATATTTTTCACTTGGGGCATATAAATTCAGAAGTACAGTACAGTTATTTTGGCATTTGTTCCAAACTTTTTGTTTCCTTTTAAGAAATATTTTAACATTTATTTTATGTTCAGGAAGGGGTACATGTGCAGGTTTGTTGTATAGGTAAAGTCATGACTCGGGGGTTTAGTGTGCAGATTGTTTCCTTACCCAGGTACTAAGCATTCTAAACTTTTCTCACATTTATATTTTGATTTTTGTTTTAGAGGCCAACTAGAAATTATTGCTGAGTTGGAAATACCTGTAGGATTTAATTTATTTTGTTTCTTAATCTGTATTAGTTTGCAAGAAGTAGCAAAGATAAGAGGATAAATGCAATTATCATCATGAAAGAAAACAATGAATGTATATGTGAAAGTCTGGGTTTAGAATGATAAATGCATGAGAGTGAGAAGGTACTACAGGGCTCATTGGCTCTCACCTCCCAACTCACGAATTTCCCTGTGAGTTTGCAGCCCTGACATGTGGGGACCCAGTCTGTGCTTGGCCACTTACAGTGACAGGGAGAATGACTCTGAGTCTCAGAGGAAAAGGCTCAGCCAAACTCCTCCAGACGGTCTCCTTCTTGTCCAGATCCACACAGAACATCTCATCCTCATCAAACTCAAAAATAAACTCCCTTGTTGGTCTATGTCTCTGTACATGTATGTACAATGACTCTCTGTCACTGTAATTGTAAGTGTCTGGAGGATAGGGTCTGTGTCTTATTTTGCACTGAGAATGACTCCCTGTCACTGTAAGTGGCCAAGCAGAGAGTGGTATTTCAAACTAAACAAATTAAATTAAATCCTATAGGTATTTCACAAGGAAACTTAGCTTCCTTCTCAGTTTAAAGGACTCAAAGGACTCATCAGGAAAAAGAGGGTAAACTAAAAAGACACAATGTCCTCTAGCAATTATTGGGAACTCATCTTCCTAATATGTGAATGTTCCTTATAGTTTTAAAAATGCTTTTTAAAAAACACTTTCACAAGTTCTGCAGTCTAAAGATCAACCAGATATTAAACAGATTATTTTAGTTAAAAATGTCATTTCCATTTAGACAAAAATGTGTATTAAAAGACTACTATATGTCAAACACTGTTAGATGCTAAATATTCAAATAAAAATAACACATAGGTCCTGTTCTGCAGACTCGTACAATTCACAGAAGGAAACACAAGTGACAAGGCAATAGCAGGTTCAGAAGGATAAGTGCAGATATGTGGGTATACACAAGATGCGATCAAACAGCACATCAGGGAAGGCTTCCTGGGGAACAGATGGCTTCAATGTAGGCATTCAGAAAACAGGGCAAAAGCCACTTCTCACAGGGAAGACAGCCTGACCGGGAGAAGATACTGAGTTCACTGTGGGGCTGTTGCACTTAGACGATCTGGAAGTCATCTAAGGAGAAATAATACATAGATATTTGTGGATGATGGGTGGTCTCAGGAGAGGAGTTTAGGCCAGAAAACTGACAGTCATTAGAGGCAGGTGCAGGTTAGATGAGATTTTCCAGGAAGAGTGCCAAAAGTCAGAACTGCAGAGATCTCAGGGTTTAATGAGAGAATATGATAATTAAGAGGTGATTTAAAGGATGATAAGGAGGATCCAGGGAAACAGGAGAAAAATAAGAACAGGGTAGTTCATCACAAATAAGTGGATTACAGTGCAAATATTATCAGTAACTCAAGTGAGAGGCACTGAGAAGAACCCACTGGATTTGACCTTCTGCTGAGGTTCCTGATGGCCAAGATGAGAGGGTCCTAAGGGATGTACCGGAGGCAAGTCAGAAGCTTAGCTCCAAGTGTGAGGACACAAAGGAAGTGTCTCTAGGGTAGGATGCAGACTGAAGTCATGGTTGTTTTTTATCAGTTGGTTTTCAGTTATGTTTTTAAGGTAAAGGACATGTTTAAATGTTAAGAGACAAGGAACCACTGGGGGCAGGGAAGCCCTGAAGAGACAGCTGAGCTAATTAGGAATTTCTAGGAAGAATCCTAAAAAGTATTCAAATCTATGAAGAGATGCCCATTGTGGTATTTATTGTAACATAACATTAGAAATAACCCAGGTGACCATGAATAGGACAATAGATATTTCTGGTCTCCACAGCCTCACCTCCTGTTTATTCTACATATCTTAAATAAAACTGTCTGAGGCCAGTGTGCATCTTGTATGTTATGGATTCTAACCTTCACCATCACTAGGTTTTGGGATGACAGCATCATACACAGGCTTGATGTCATTCTCTCTGATGTCAGCTACAGGAAGAAAGAGCATTCACCACAGTCCATCTCTGGCTGAGTCCTTGCAGCTATCCAAAGCCTAGGCCCGCCTTGCAGTCCCAGATCTCTCAGAACCCGAATCACAAGGGCTATCAAGACAATGCAACACTGCTGTCTTGAGAGAGGAAAGCTTGTGACCACCCACAAAGACCCAGGAAGAGCCGTAGGGTCCTAGGAGAGAGGGAGGATACAGAAACACTCTTAGCACTTTCTCTCCTAATGCAGAGCCCATAGGTCGGAGTTCCTGTGAAGCAGCCACAAAAGACAGAGGCTGGGGATCCCAGAGAGATGGGAGGGGTGTGGGGGCCCTGCAGGGCCCTGGTGGAAGATCACTGTGTGCAGGAAACTGAGGAAGGCAGTGTATGACCCTCAGAGCTGGGTCTGGACTTCAAACTTGGCACGTTGATCTGCTGTGTAACCTTGGAAAATGTATTCATCTTTTTGAGCTTCAGTTTTTTCAAAATAATTTCTAAATAAAGGGAATGATTTCTCAATGAAGGGAATAATATCTTCATTGAAGATTCCTGTGAGATATAAATGGGGAAAGAAACTATGCAGGCATCTCATAAATTCTGGCTGTTATTGCTGTTATTATGAGGGCCAGAGGAAACATAGACTATCATGAGGGCCAGACAGATCAATGAGCCCCTAAAATTTCTGATTCCTGAAGCAACAATTGATGTGAACCTCCCCAACACTCACCCCGGCACTCTTGTGTCCTCCTGAGCACTTACCCTTGATGGCCCCAGCTCCTCGGAGACTCAGCAGGAAAGCCAAGGAGAGGGTTCTCAAGACAATAGCTCTGGTCTGGAACATTCTGTCTTCAGGGCACACGTTGTGGGGTCTATAATTGATGTCCATGAGCTCAGGAACAGTGTTAATGAACTGAGGCTGGGTGGAGGCAGATGAGACTCTGAAACTGTGGGCCTCTAGCACTGGAAATGGTCAAAATGGGTGGAGAGGAGTCAGCATGGCTGGGCTTCACCAATCAGAGGAATAACAGAGCTGACATTCTCTGTTGCTGGGTAAAGAGGATGCTGGAAGGTGCTGGGGAAGAGATGAGAGAATTTTAGGTACCAGCGTGGTCAAGAGAGCTCCAGTTCACAGTTCGTTTTCAGAGTTAGAGAAAGAGACGTGGAAAGATAAGTCACACCTTCTTCTGATGGCAAATGTTTCCCATTATGTTCCTTCTCCCAACCCCCACCCGCATCCCAGACAGTCAGATGATCTTTGATGCTTTTTGGTCACTGTATTTTAAATAATGTTTTATGTTACGTTGTCAAGTTTACAAAAATCTTCTGCTGATAATTAAGAATGAATGTGATATCTAATAAAATACATAATTAATCTTTCTTTCAGGTCCACCTCCCTAAGAGATCTCCTTTTTATTTAATCATTTCTGCAGAGGCGTTATAATTTCTATTTAGAGGTTTTAATTAACTTGAATGAAGCTGATCTTTAAGTATTTATCTATTCCTGGTTACCTTTGTTAGTGAAATTTCTAGATAATTTTTATTAATAGATTTCTTAGTATTTAGTCAAAAAGTATACTTAGTGTATTTAGTCAAAAAGTATTCTTATACTTAGTCAAAAAGTATTTGACTTTTCCTGGTATTTACACAGTGTAATAACATTTTTATCTTTAAATTAGTAGTCATGTTATTTCATTTTCATGTAAGAATACCCAGGACAGCATTACCTATGGTAACAATGTGCACCCATATTTTGATCCTGTTTTTAAGAAGGGTTTCTCTAATGCTTTTCTGTTACAGGTAATGTTCATTTTTTTATTTTATATTCTCTTTACTGTATTTAAGAAATTACTTTTCTAGTCTCATTTTAAATATTTCAATTTTGAGCTATTTCTTTGATACTCAGAGAAGATCACAAAACATTTACTATTTAATGTAATGATGAAGTACATATATTACATTAATATTTTTTCTTATTTATGGTAGCCTTACCTTGTATAAATAATAATTACTAACAGATTAGTACATGAGAGATGCTGTTATTAGTGCTTTTCACGCATTACCTCATTTAAACCTCACATTAAACCTGAGGGAGGTATTATTAATGTCTACTGTAAAAGTAAATTACCTGAGACATCGAGGAATTAAGTATTTGTCTAATTATCTGCGGCAGGTAAATGACAAGGAGAAGAGTCCCACCCAGGCAGTTACTAAAAAAAACTGAGCTTTTCTCCACAATCCTCTCCTGGCCCCTCAATCCTACTGGACATCTTCTACTACAAATTATTTTCTTCTTTTGCATTTTACATGCCAGCCTTCTATTTACATTTTAATATCAATTTAAATAATTGATGCCAATTTGATTCTTTTTTGAAATTAGAATTGGTGGTCCAACAGGATCACATTTACAAGTGTCTAAAGTAAGAAGTAATGTTCTTTGGAAGTTTGTAAAAATATTCACTATAAACAAAATAGAATCAGATGCTTTGAAGGAGGTGGGGTCTTTGATGATTCTTTTTTCACTTTCTTCCTTATTTACTAGTCAATTTATATTCTCTATGGGCTTTATTTTTCCAAAGCAATTTTAGACCTATCAATCTCATTTGATCTTAAGAACTTTGCTATAAGGCAGGTTCTATCATCTCCATATTGAAGACAAGGAATCGAAGTCCAAAAGAGGCGGTGTCCTTAAAGCTGCATACTTACATGGTAGGGTGAGTGGTGTGTTCATGCTCCCGGTGTAAGGTCCCTAGACTGAGCCCTGCTAACCCTGATGAGAGTCCTGTGGAAGAACCTGGTGTCTCCTGCACATCGCAGGACTCACAGACCTCTGAGAGAAAGTAAATATGAACGGGTGCTAATCTTTAACACACCCTTGGACAAAGACAAGACAGACAGACTCCAGGCCTCATTTGAGTTCTGGGATGGATACTCTAATCCCTCTAAACCATGCCACTGACTGACCTTTTACACACTGAGATAGCATTTCTTCCACACCAGGCCATGTCCTGTGTGAGGTGTGGCAGAATTGGGGAAATGATAATCCCCGTAGATGGCCAGCAGAATATTTGAGATCAGCGTCAGAGCAAAGAAAACACATCATCTCCCCCAATCTCATGACTTACTTGACTGCTTAAAATGGGTGTCACCATCCTCCATCTGTCATCTTAACTGCATCACAGGTTTTATATTTTCAGACCTTTCACACTAACCGTCTGCCCGGTGAGTGATGACTCATACAAAGCTCAGTGCCCATTGGTTCTTTTCTCAGACTCTGTCCAATCCCAGGGTCACAGAAGACTACTTGGGTTCACGGTCTCTAATATTTCAGACAGGAGCTCCCTTTAGTGAGTCCTTCTTTTCCTGACTGCAGTTCTTTTCATTTTGCCATCCTTTTCCAGCTCCATGATGGTTCTGCAGGTTTCTGCAGCCCCCAGGACAGTGGGTCTGATGGCGTTACTGATGGTGCTGCTCACATCTGTGGTCCAGGGCCGGGCCACTCCAGGTAAGAGAAGAGCTGCCATTCCTGGAGGGTCTGGCTCAGGGAACAATTCCTTGGGGACTTTCTCTTTAAGGGATCAAATTCTGAGACAGGCTGCAGGGGCTCCCGCCCTAAGGCAGTGTCCTCCCTTCCCAGCTAGAGAAGAGGTTCATCCGGTATAGAATAGCTTGCTACCCTACAGGCCTATTCTCTCTCCAAGGACACGGGTACAGCAAACAGAGAGAGGTGCCCAGTGGTCAGTATGCTTGTCTTTGGGAAAATGGGGCCAAGAGATCCAGGATAAACTTGATGAACAATGTTTACAGAGAGAGGGGTTGGCAAGTACAGGCTCCCGGGTGTGCTCACATCTGCATCCAGCCTGGAGGGGACTCAGGCAGAGAGCCTTAAGCTGGAGAGTCCAGGCTCTGAGGATCACTGAGGATTCAGTGCTCATGAAGAATGCCTCTCATTTCCCAGGGTGTAGCAGGAGCCCATGCCCCTTGGACAATGAAGGCAAGATGGGAGGGCAGGTTGGGGACAGGTTCTAGCCCCTGAAGTCATTCTCATTAAAGGTACTTCTCCCAGCCTCCCCAGAATTTGGTGAGAGTACTAGAGTGGGTTGAGACTTGTAGGAAGAATGAGATGAGGTTGTGTGGGTGCGTGACAGGGATTGAGTGCAGGTTATCAGACAGCCGAGAAAGCAGTAACCAAGTGAAAAATCTCTTCTTCCTGCCGCCTCCCTGTGGCTGGTGTAATATTATGGCATCTATGATCCATTGTTTTTCTCTCAGGATAGTCTCAGGATATTTCTAGTTCAAATTTACACCAACACTCTGAGAGGAAGGACTGCAAAGTAGATATCTTAGTTTTCCACTGACTTTCACCTTTTCTGCTTACACTCTTCCTCCTAGACCCCTCCACACCTAGGACACACCTAGAAGGTACTGACATCATGTCACTTCCTCATCTTTCAGGGTAGCAAGGTTGGAATCTCCTGAATACAGCCCCTCAAACCCTAAAACCTCTTATCTATTACCTTGGGTTCATTGTCCGGGAAGGGGAGGAGAACTTGAACTTGTAGGCACAGAGGGGTGCTGAGAACTAACCAACAGGATGGCTTAGCCCTGGGAACTGCAGAGGGGTGAGGCTGGGGAGAAAGGAGGCTGGAGCAGCGCAGGTGACACTGAACAGTGTCCAGCAGAAGGTGAGGGGATGCAGCACCCCCATTCCATAGGCAGAGCTGTTACGTGGGATGAGCGACAGTGTTGGGAGCCACCAAGGAAACCCAGAGGTTGGGGAGCAGAGAGCAGAAGGGGGCATGTGATGCTGGCAGTGAACAGGAGGAGGGGCAAAGGCTGGGTTGAGGTTGGTGGGGGAATGAGATGAGGCAGTGGAGCCATGTGACAGGGACTGAGGGTGTGTTACCGGAGCTCCCTGTGTAGAATGAATGTTCAATCAAAACCTGCTGGAGGGAGAGCTGGAGCCATAGGGAGTGGGTAGAGAGGGCAGGGCCGATTTCACAATGCCCTGCATGCTCCTACAACTCCACACACATCTTGCCTTAGCAATGACACTGGAGACTAAAGGTGGACTCTATGGTGCCCCTGAGCCCAGCCCCACTCCATCTCCACTGTCCTCTGTGACTAGCTATGCAGCTTTTGTGAGGGTTGATGTTAATAAACTGAAGAAGTTAATTTGTGGAGCATGAAACAGATGAGCAGAACAATCACAGTACCTTAATTTCCCCAATGTGCCCAAGAACAGAGCAGGCCTGAAGAGACTCAAACAGAAACAAACATGTGCCACATCACTAATACTTCTGTGTAGACACACACCTGCCAGACACTGCTCACTGGCCTCCCTAGGAACAACAGCATGTGGGAAAGGCTGCCAAAGTTCTTTATGTAAAAATTACATCAATGCTGTCTTCCTTGGCACTGCCTATGGAGCTGGCAGCCATCTCTTCCTCCGCATCGTGGCCTCCCTCAGACTCCTCATGCAGCCCAAGATCCTCAAAAAGAGGACCAACAAGTTAATGCAGCACCACTCAGACTGAAATCTCAAAATTAAGTGTAACTGGCGGAAACCCAGAGGTCTTGACAACAGGGTTCTTAGAAGGTTCAAGGGTCAGATCTTGATGCCCAGATCTTGCTTATGGGAGCAACAACAACAAAAAACACATGCTGCCCAGTGGCTTCCAGAAGTTTCTGGTCCACAACATCAAGGAGCTGAAAGTGCTGCTGATGTGCAACAAATCTTACTGTGTTGAGATGGCTCACAGTTTCCTCCAAGAACTGCAAAGCCATTGTGGAAAGAGTCACCCAGCTGGCCGTCAGTCATCAACTGCAATGCCAGGGTGCACAGCAAAGAAAATGAGAGAAAGTTCACGTCCACGTTTTGTGTTTAAATAAAACCATAAAAACTGTCCAAAAAAATTAGATCAATTCCTCTAAACCCAAAGGACTCCACCCCAACAGGTCCCTGGTTGTTGTGGTGATTTTCATTGTTTAAAATATTTTCCACATCTTTTGACACCAAGTCTTTCTGCAGCCATGTTTGAAAATTAACTTTCAGGCTACAGAGTCTTTCTTATACTAAAGTTGAAGAAAGTTTTAAGAAATATATTTCTACATTTCCTAAATGCAAAACAACAGGAGCAGGTTGAGGAATTCTCAAGAAACTGGTAGAGAAGAGAGAGCGCCTAGCTGTGGAAAAGAGAAAGAAGGAAGGGAGGGTTTCCTGGAGGAGGTGGCATTTGAACCAGGACTAATATCAGGATGGAAATGTCAGGCAGGGAGTTGAGTAGGGGGAGCAGCTCCGCCCTCCACGTCCCCAGCTCCTCCGGCCCCTGTTTTTTCTCCCAGCGACCCCACGTGAAAAGTCTCCCCCTCCTCCTCCAGCTGCCAGCAGAAGGGACTGCCTTCCCCTCAGTGTTCGCCCCTCCCTAGTGATCACTCAGTCCCCCTGAGCAGTGAATCTCATTCTTTTCAGTAAATTCTCTCTCTGCATGGTGAGAAAACAGGCCTGGAGAGGCTCAGCTACCTGCCTAGGACCACAGAACTCGGTACTAGGAAAACTCCTATTTTAAAATCCAGCCCTGCGTAGGAAGATTTGGGAAGAATCGTTAAAATTGAGAGAAGGGGGGAAAAAGGGGATTAGGTGAGAGTGGCGCCCCCGCTGATGTCCGCCCCCTTCCCGCAGAGAATTACCTGTTCCAGGGACGGCAGGAATGCTACGCGATTAACGGGACACAGCGCTTCCTGGAGAGATACATCTACAACCGGGAGGAGCTCCTGCGCTTCGACAGCGACGTGGGGGAGTACCGGGCGGTGACGGAGCTGGGGCGGCCTGAGGCGGAATACTGGAACAGCCAGAAGGACATCCTGGAGGAGAAGCGGGCAGTGGTGGACACGATGTGCAGACACAACTACGAGCTGGACGAGGCCGTGACCCTGCAGCGCCGAGGTGAGTGAGGGCTTTGGGCCGGGGGTCCCAGGGCAGCCACGGGGGCCCATGCCCAGGGCCCAGAAGCAGCCGGGCCGGCCTAAGGGACCTTAGTGCCAGATGGAAAGGGGACTTTGGGCTGGGGATTCATGGGGGAGCCCATCTGGAGCATGTCAGGGGAGGGAGCGTGCGGACCTGGACTGGGCTGATCATGGAGTGAGGAGGATGGGAGCAGAGAGACCCCCTGGACTTCATCAGGCCTGGCAGCTGACTGCATGTGGGATGAGAGGAAAGGAGGCCACAGGAGAGCGTGCAGGGGTGTGGTGTGGAGATGGAGGTGGAGACGGCACAGCAGGCCATACAGAGAAGAAACCTGCAGGGAGACCCCTGGGTTTCAGATGCTTGAGTGGCCAGATGGATGGTCTGAGGGGAAGGTAAACAGAAGGGTCTGCAGCCAGGGAGGAGACTGGGCTACATGAGACCACCCAGGGAGAGGGACCCCGGGGGAAGAGCAAAGGGCTGGATCCTGGGAACTGGACAGTTGTGATTTGGCCAAGACAGAAAAGTCTGTGAAAGAGACCAAACAAAACAAAACAAAACAAAAACAAAGAGAAAACCAAGTGCAGTGTGAGGAGAGGCCCTCAGAGAAGAGTCCTGGAGGCTGAGGGGAGGGGACCTCAGCAGTGTAGTGGACAGCGGTGCCAGTGACTTGGAAAGGTCAGAAAACAGAAGATGGAAAGTGGGTTTGGAAACCAGGGACACCTGGGGAGAGCAGGTTGACTGCAGCGGTGGGAGCTGGAATGCGAAGGGGTGGATGAGGCTGAGCATAGCACATCCTCCTCAGGGCTGAGATGGATTTTATTTGTCTTGGGCTCCCCATGGCTGGCACAGGGCAGTGTCTGAGCTCATTCATTATTTCCTTCAGGAAGTCTGGGTGTAAAGGGATGGAGAGAGGTGAGATGTGTGCAGTAAGAGGATTTCTTAAGGATGAGACAGGAGGGCCTTGGAGCTTTGGCTTCCTCCTGTGAACTTGTGGAGTGGGGAGCCTAGTGCACCAACCTGAGGCACCTGAGAGAGCAGCATCAGGGTGTGGGGTTGAGCCCTGGGACCTTTTCCTAGAGACAGGAAGAAAAGAAGGGAGGAGGAGGAGGAAGCTGGGGAGATCACATCTTTGATTTCCTTGTTCCTGGAAAGTGAAAGGAAGTGCACCTGCTAGGAGTGAGAAGGTGGACATACTGGGTGGGGATGAGGTGAGTGACATGAGCTTAGGAAAGTTGCTGAGGTAATAGTTGAGAGAGGTGCCCAAAGAAAACTAATGCAATTGGCGAAAACTGTTACTAAGACTTTGTAGAGGCACAAATCAGCTACGTGGCAGCATTTTCTTTCACAGTAATCAACTGCCAGATTGCAGACAGCCCTGATGCCAGCCTAAGGAGTGTGGGTTTCTCCTCTAGACCTGCAGGTCCCCAACCTCACTTCTCAGAAGACTCTCCTGGAGATCCTCTGTGATGCACAGATCCCCAGACTCACTGCCCCGAGACTCAGATTTCCTGGGTGGTGAGGTCTGGAGATCTGTTTGTAATCAGCTCCCTAGAGGTTCCCATGTAGCCAGATAAGTATTGTCAGAACACTGAAGATTTTTGAAAATTGAAAAAGAGAAGGTTGGAGCTGTGTCTTCAGAACACAATTAAGGATGCTGGGTAGAGGAGGGATGAGAGGCAGGGAGATGAGGTAGGAAACTGCTATTATTTGTCAGGGAAATTGCAATGAAGGCATGAATTAGAACAGGGAAAACACAGAGGCAGGGGAGAGGTCGGAAGGGGGAGGAAAGGGAGTAGTGACAATTCCAATGTGGATGCCCACCCAAATCTAGAGGTAATTGAGCAAATGTTTTCTGGGCATTAGAGAAGGCAACTGTAACAAACAGGAATCATTGCCTTGGTGAAATGTATTTGAACTGGGTCAGAAATGAGGCCATTGGGTATCAAGCCTTAGCTCCAGCACCCCCTGGAGGTTGCTGATGTGCTCCAGGCTGACCAGCTCCCGTCAAAGAATATTGAGCAAGATGCGTCTCATGGAATGTTCTAGGACCTTAAAACAGACACTCAAGTATTCCCCCTGATTTCATGGTTCCCACGAGTTCTATGGGGAAGAAATTGTACATAATTCACAACTGAGATTTAGACATGGGTTGAATAGTCTAATGGATGCCGAGTTTACAGAGGTGATGAAGTACTGAGACACAGGTGCCCCTGAAATAAACTCACATTGAGGGAAGAGGTTGGCAATGTGGATCAGTCTGTGAACAAGGCAAAAATACAATAGGGAGTGAAGGTTGTGGGTCAGTTCAAGACAGTGCTTTCACCTGGCCCAGCCCCATGTCAGGGTATTTTTGTTCTCCGGAAGTAGAAAGGAAAGAACTGAGTGATTAGGGACCTAGAAGACTAATTTGAGACACATCTCTTGATGAGATGTTCTCTAGGGGATTC